GAGCAATTTGTTGCTGCTTGTGCCGCAGCTTTTGATGCGTCTATTCCTGACGCTGCTGCGCTATATGCTCTATATACCCTTGTCCATAGCGGCGCCCAGCTTCTGGCTGTCCGCCGTGCTCTGGATCTTCTGGAAGCTGCTGCGCGTGCCTATTGGTCTGTTCAAGTGGCTGCTCAGCACCGACGAGGAGCAGCCAGGAGCTCCGCAGCGGCAGCGGCAACGTCAGCGCACCGTGCTCCTCAGCTGCGGCAGCACCATTCAGACACTGCACCTGGCGCGTAATTTCTACGGATCCGGCGCACGTGTTGTGGTCTTTGAGTTTGAGGGTCTGTTTGGACTGGCGCGCTTCTCGAGCTGTGTGGACAAGTTCTATGTGGTGCCGCGGCCAACCAAGGCTACGGCGGAGCAGTATATAGCCGCGCTGTGCCACATCGTACGCAAGGAGCGGCCAACTGTATATGTGCCCGTCTGTGCCACGAGTCCGGCCTATTATGATTCGCTGGCCAAGCCGCACTTGGAGCTGTTGGGCTGCGCCAGCTTTGTGCCCGGTGCCCGGGAGACCCAACAGCTGGACGACTGCCTGCAGCTGTTTCGGCGCTGCGAGGCGCAGCAGATCACGCTGCCAGCGCATGCGGTCATAACGGCGCCGGAGCAGCTGCATCAACTGTACGAGGGCGGCTTTGCGGCCGGCTATCGCAACATATTCATGGCCTGCGGCATGCAAGGAGTCATGGAGCGACACAAGTACATATTGCCCACGCGCCGAGTCGAACTGCTGAAGTTCAATCAGCACGAGATCAGCGAACGCCAGCCCTGGCTGGTGGTGCGTGATCAGCCGGGCTATCATCACTATGTCACGTGCACAACGGTCAAGGACTCGCGGGTCGTGGCCAATGTCAGCTGCCGGGTGGAGCACAATACCAAGAATCTGATACCGGTGCGACGGGACGATGAGGCGCAGATAGAGCTCTGGCTGCGCAGTTTCTTTGCCAAGGTGCGCTTCCAGCGCAGCATCAATGGCCATGTCAGCTTTCGCCTGGTCAAGTCGCCCACCCATGGCGGCCAGTTTGTGCCGCTGGGCGTGCGACTGGGCGTGGCGCTGCCCTACATCTGCCATAATCGCTCGCACGCACAGCTGCTGTGCCGGGCCATCAAGTGCATGTGCATACATGGTCGGACCGGCATGGCCGAGGACGATTCGGCCAGCTGGAGCTGGAGCTGGTCGACGCTGGAGCGTAACACATCGACGGTGCCGCTGGATAAGCGCGAAGCGCTTTTCGCCTATTGGGATCCGCTGCCCTATTGCGCCTACTATCACTTTCAGCTGCCGCTGGAATCTGTAAAGCTGTTTTTGCAGCGACGGAATCGCAGCGAGACCAAAAGTTTATCGCCGCGCATCACGGCGCCGGTTCATTGAACGACGCAGTGCACCAATAGCCGGCTGGGTAGCTAGAAACAGGGCTAGCAACAGCAACAGCAACAGCAACAGCAATAGCAATAGCAATAGCGACAGCGAGAGAGATTGCACAGACTGAACAATAATAACAACTACAGCACCAACAACAACAATATGTACATACATACACGTAACACATACATAAACAAACAGCCTACATACATACGCACGCACACGCATACATACTTACTATAGGCAAATACTGTCACATACATATATACGCGTTTATATATATATATACATGTACATATATATATACTTTATTTTGTTTACTTGATGCGCACACATCCAATGGGGTTCAACATCTATCTAAGATTAGGCTAGCATAGAGTACATTATGTATATATACATAGACGATTATGTGCAGAAACACTTGGATCTAGCACTATCACACACACACGCGCACACACACATAGAAGCCCATAGGCTTTTTAGTTTATTGACTTTGCAATATAATAAAACTTATAATTTATATACGAATTACCCATAATGTTTTTATTTTTCAGCGAGCACATTTTTAAAATAAAATAAACATTAAATACTGAATCAGTCGACTAACTGACCACCACTGATATCCTGCTGTTGTATTCTTGTGGCGGTGGTTGTTTTGGCCACGTTTCTTCCGTTTTTCAGTTTCGTTTTCGTTTGGGTTTACGTTTTGAGCGCCGGTTGCCTGGTAACGGCTTTAGGTCAGTTTAATTGCGGTTAGAGCTGGCGCTAACTGAACCATTCCCATTATCCTTATCAGAGTAACCCCCAGAAAGAGGGTATGAAAGGCTTGAGCAGTGCACACCCAACGACCAAGGCTATACGAATTATGCAAATGATGTATACTGTATATATTCATAATTATTCAATATGCTAATTATAATACATATGCACATATACGTATGCAGATATGTTATCTCTGCTGCTGATTTTCATTTAAAAGCGCTATTTCAACAAGGTATGAGTAATTTTTTACTGTTACATTTAAAATTTGAACTTAATAATAGGAAAAAGGTAAAAGCGCTTGAGTGTTTGTGTACTGTAGATTCAAAAATGACAACGTTTTCTTTTCATAGCACTTCTGATCCGTGAGAATTGCAACGTTGACACGTGAATGGCTACGTTTACAGCCGACCACTAGAACACTTGGCTCGCGCACGTAGAAAACAAAAAGCATCAACTTTTTGCAAAGTAAATAACTCAAATTACGGTTTTTTGCCACGCAATGAATAACGGACCGAACGATGGTGCCTCCTCGCACCGTGGTCGTGGCGCCGCCCACCTGGACAGGGCCGCCACTGGCGTGGCAATAAACATTGACAGCGACAACGATGACAATGAGTCAACCACAGCTGAGCATGATTACCTGCTGCCAGCGCCGACGCCGCCCTTGTCGCTAGTGACCTCGGCACAGCCATTGATGGGGCCAAGTGCAAGTACAACCATTAATTTGGAGCAAACCAATCAACAGCCGGCGCGCAGCAGCAGCCTCAGTGGCGGCCGCACCAGTAGCAGCAATATACTGTCCACGCTGCTGGCCCGGCAGCGATCCTTTACGCCCGTCAGCAGCACACCTATGCGCGTGACATCGCAGGTGAACCGCCGTCTGCAGCAGTCGCGCAGCGTGGGCGCCAACAGCGGCAGCCTCGAGGAGCCACCAGCACAACCAGCATCTAGCGTTGCGTCGCCGGCGAGTGTACGGCAGCTGGGATTCTGGCGTGTCAACTTCAACGAAATGTTCTCACTGTCCACGGCACCCTCAACCGAGGCGTTGCGTTCGTTCATTGCACATTCCAATTTTCGCTATCAGCAACCGACAACCGGCAATGCAGTGCCGCCAGCAAGCGCTCCCGTTCAAGGTGACAATACGCATATTTTGCTAAACCAGAACCAGCCCACAGGCCAGAATGAGCCAGAGGCTAGCACTAGCGCGTCCATACCCACACGCTCGAGCGCCTACAACAGCGCTGGCATGGGCAGAAGCATTTCGCTGCGCGAGGGGGAAATGCAACAGCCGCGTCATAGCCTAACAGGTCGCCACAATGCCAGTGTGATTGGCTTGACAACGCCAGCAACGGCGAGCATGAATCCACCTGCCTATGATGCCACGCTTTCCGATCCGATCGCTGCTGCTGATGCTGCCTCATCGGGCGCCATTAATGCAACACCGTCGGATGGCGCCGGCAGCCCCAGTGGCAACGGCAATGGCAATGCGGCGCACGAGAACAACGCAGACGATGATCACCTAATAACGGACATGGTGGTGCAAGTGCTGAGCCACTTCGTTCGCTATTTGCCCATCATATGCATTCTGCTGATCAAGTTCGTGCACGACCACCTGCTGGGCATCCTCGATCTGCTGCTGCTGCAGACCATCATGTACAACATTAATCGTTCGGTGCGCAATCAGGTCGCCCGTCTGGCGCAAAAGAACTATGCTGTGCTGCTCCGCGACAGCTGCACATTGGTGGTGGTGGTTGGACTGCGTCTATTCTTGGCCACAGCGCCACCGGATCCTTTGGGACTGCTGGTGCCGCCCCCAAAAAACTATCAGAATTTTGACATCTCTACGCACTACAAAATTGAGGGCATCCACAGCGATGGACTCAATGATAGTCCTTCGACCACGTTCCAATCGAGCGCCGAGACGCCAAAAAACTTGACCGTCGATGTAACAGCATCGAAAGTCATTCCGTTGGGCATGCTGCTCTACTATATCGCCGTCAGCGACCTGCTGCTGAAATTAATCACAATTCTCATCAAGATCTTCATAACCATGCTGCCCATGCATGTAATTCGACTGAAAGTGCGCGTAAGTAATTGAACTCTCTTATCTGCTCATGATTGCTGAGTCACTGCTAATCGAGGTGTAACTACGGACAAACAATCAACTTGTTGTGCCTTCGTATTTAAAGTACCTTTACCTAATATCCACGTCAGACTATTTGACTCAGATTACGATTACTTGCATTTCATTCTCAGGCTCGTCTTTATGTATTAGTGGAATACACATCGCAGTTCTATCGCGCATTGGCCCCCATCACACAATGGTCCTGTTTCCTCTACGAGTCCTATTCGGGCCTGGAGGTTATTTCGGGTGGTCTCTTCGCCTCCATGTATATTGGAGCCAAGATCTTTGAGCTGCTAGAGCGTGGCAAAGCCCTCAAGAAAGCCGTCTCAACATTTAGGCGCAATATTGTAAGTCAAATAAATAGAAATGTAGAAAGTATTTTACGTTTTTTCTCATGTAACTGCAACAGGACTCAGAGCGACCGCCTACAAAGGACGAGCTCGATGCCGCTGGCTCTGTCTGTCCCATTTGCCATGACGTGTACACTGCACCAATAATACTTGAGTGCGGACATATATTCTGTGATGAGTGCGTCCAGACGTGGTTCAAGCGCGAGCAAACCTGTCCAATGTGTCGTGCCAAGGTCAGCGATGATCCTGCCTGGCAGGATGGAGCCACAACGTTTTTTCATCAGCTCTACTAAGTGCAGAACAATTGAACTTTTTACCTATTTATTATTCTGCTATTCATCTATCTGTCTATGTGTAAATAGCTTAAGCTAGCATTTCTTGCAATGCTGCACAAATGTTTATTTAGTTTAACAGTTATTAACTATTATTATATATATACCTCTTGTACTTTAAATGAAAAACTATGCTTATTTTGCATTGCGGCGTTTGGCAGCTGCAAATGATTGCGACTCGAAGTAGGCGCCATCGCTGCTCGTTGCCTTCTTGTTAATATCACAATGACGCTCCTTACTCACAATTTCCTCCAGGATCTCGCTGTCGCCTTTGATAAGGCGAGTTCGGCCAGTCACAGGGTCGACCTCACGGCGTATTTGGCTTTGACGGCGCTGGTACTCTTCCGGTGTTTCCGGCGCATGCGATTTGCTGTTCATCAGTGCTTAAATTGGAGCGAAATGTTAACTCATTTGAGTAGCTGTTGCTGAAAACGTAAAAATGGCTTCGACCGACCTATAGGTATTGCGAAGTCATCCTCGCCTCCACTGTCCGCAGCCACTTGAAGTGCAATTTCCTTTACGACCGGCGTCTCTTCCTTTGCTTGCTTTAGCTTTAATTTGTCTTCCCTCTTAGATTTCTTTGATTTGACTTTATGCTTCTCTCTGTGCTCTTTACGCTTGCTCTTATGCTTTTTCTTAGATTTCTTTTCACTTTTACCCATTTTGCTCAACTATTGTTTACAAGTGGAAAAAAAAATATCAAAATACGAAATCCACAACCCTTCTGTCACTGCGTAACATAATCCACAACAATTAACATTTTCTGATGCTTTTCGTGAATCAATTGTAAATTGAGCTGGTCACTCTGGTCTTATGTTTTGATTTTGAAGGGATCAGCTGATATTCTATCGATAATTTAATCAAAAACAAATCATATGCTTTATATATTAGTATTGATAAAAGAAAAGTTTGAATTGTACATAAGAATAAAAGCTTTAATCATAGAAACTTTGCAAAACGCATTCAATAATTGTTGCCTTTCATAGCCATTCACCCCGAAATTAGAGTCGGTGCTGCAAAACGCCATCTATTGGATCGCATTTTACAGCACTGAATAATTTACGTAGCACGCCGATATAAACCATTAAAATCAAAAAAGAGCCAAACATCTTGTCAACTGTTTACCAACTGGACGCTTTAAACGACAACAACTGGTAACGCAACTGAGAACGTACAACATCCGCTCTAAAACGGCAGCCGATTTGCCAAACGCGACAAATTCGTGTTGTGGACACACACAAACACACGCACACCCACAAACAATATCAACGACCACGCAAGAAGCAAAAGGAGCTGAATTCTAAAACACTACAACAACAGCAGCAACAAAAATTCGATTTGGCAACTAGACAGCTACAACAAAAACAGCAAGAACAACAGCGGACAAAAACTGTGCAACGTGCACACCGCCAGCAAAAGTACAATAAGAATTTGAAGCAAACAGCGCCAAAGGCCAGGCAGCCGTTCAAATAGCCCAGCAGCTAGCCTCAAATCCAACAACAACTACAGCAACAACAAAGATTGTGGCAACAACAGTCAAGAGGCATAACAATAACAATAACTATAACAGGGAACCAGACGTCCAGGGAGCTGCCACAGTCGAGACACAGCATTAGCATGGAGAAGGTCGCAAGCAAACAATACGAATCGTAAGTGGAAACCTAAATTGGGGCAACATCTTGGCTAGCGTTTGTTAGGTTATGTTTTGATCATGGCTGCAAACCCCAAAAAATGTATAAGAACAAAAGGAGAACTATTCTCAGTATGAACCTAAGGTTCATATGAATCCCACTTTTCGATCGCTGTACACTTCCCAGTTTAAGGAGGCAATTTTCTGAATAGTTTACCAATTTCCAACTCCTTAGACCTGATGACACAGTTTGGGCAAGTTGTTTGACTCGTATTTCGTGCAGAAAACCTGTGCTTAAATCCCCAATGTCAGAGATTGCAGTGGGTTAACTGCACCAACGGATTACAGCGCCAATTTAATATATTCAATAACTATTTGAAAAGAACCATTAACTAACTAGATTTGCCCGCCTACAAAAATTAGTTATCCTCCTCATCGGTCTGGCGGAAGAGTATATCGGCAGCCAGTTCCTCGTTCTTGTCGCATGCCAGATAGACCGGCACAACAATATCCCGGTCAAAGCCAAGCGCCATCAGACGCTCCACAGCCGCCTCCTCCTCGGTATTGAGCGAGGCCGCCATTGGCATCGGTGAATTCAGCATCGATATGAACTCCTCCTGATTGTTGCGTATGGCTTCAAAGGCGGCGGGATCACTCTCCCTTAGATGTGTCAGGACCAGTTCCAGCAGCTCTGGATTTTGTCGTATCAAATCACGTACATGTGCAAAATGAGGATCGGTTGCCAAATAGTTGAGACGTTCGGCCGTCTCGCCAATCAAGTTCGCATCTGCTGCGTTTGCATTCGCGTGTGTCTGTGTCTGGTGAGCTACAGGTACATCCGTGGGTATGCCGGTGATTAGGTATTCTATGGCTCGTTCTGGATGATTGAAACTGGCACGTAGGGCAGCGCGCACGTCTGGTTCATCATAGCCCATTAGCACCAGATCGCGCACACGCTGCTCATCGGGCACAACAGCGGGACGCGGTGACTCTGTGGGGCGTAATTGCTCTGTGTTTCCTGGCTTCGGTTGCTGTAATTCCTTTTGCTCTGCCTCTATATTCTTCTTCGGGGGTTCAACCGTATTGACGCTCTTCTTGGTCATCAGCACTATAAACCTGTCCTCCTTTATATTGTAATCAGATATTGGTCGATCATCCTGCATAATGCGACCACTATAGATCAACTGCAAACTGTCCACTGGTTGGGATATCTCTGGTAACTCCACCAGCCGTTGTTTTAGATGTAACACATTTTGTTTGTCGTCCTTCAGCTCCAGGGAGATTGTTTTCTGGTCAAGCGTACGAATGGTAAGCTTCATGATGTGGTCAGCAGATTGGAGTACATGTATATATAAATATTTATATATATACTTATATATGTGAACTGTGTGTATTCCGGAGTGCTTGGCTAGCTTTGCCGTTATGCGTGAATTTGGATTTTTGAGTGGGATAAACAACAGACTCATACGATAAACTACTCAAACGTGACATGCCATCTCCTTTGCGTTGCAGGAAAATCTGGCCAGACCTTGTCGATAGCGATGACAGCGATGTGGAGAACGAAATAGATGTTGACAAATTGCCGCCACTGGAGGTGGGGCCCAACGAGAATCGCCTGCAGCACACATATTGCCTGTGGTTCTCGCGCAAGGGCACACAGCGCGCGGCCACCGACTATAGTAAATCGCTGCATGTAGTCGGGCGGTGTGCCAGTGTGCAGCAATGGTGGTCACTCTACTCGCATCTCATAAGGCCAACGGCGCTGAAGCCCTATCGGGAGCTGAGTCTTTTCAAACAGGGCATCAAACCGATGTGGGAGGATCCGGCGAACAGTAAAGGCGGACAATGGGTCATACGTTTGCGAAAGAACAAAATTGAGCGTGCCTGGGAGAATGTCTGCATGGCTATGCTGGGTGAGCAATTTCTTGTTGGCGACGAAATATGTGGCATAGTGCTGCAAACTAAGTATCCGGTAAGTGCACGATTTATTTTCCTTAAATATGATTCGATACAAGCCTGAAAGCCATTCGTATGAAAAGATCCATTGAATCGCGATTATTTTGGCGCTATCAGTGCTGTAAAATGTCACTTTCGATACACTATCGATACATATCTTTTTTTACTTGCGGTGCCGTTTGTTTTTATTTGTTTACCGACGAGCTTCGTTTTTCCCGAAATTTTAAACATCTCTTTCCGGTGCAGTCTTTAATTGCATTATTTATGCCGGTATCCATTCATAAAACCGCGCACCCGTTCATCTCCAATTGAGCATGCAAGGTAAACAGTGCACAAATTATGATCCACAAACAAACCGGTGTTCAGGTCTCGTGCTCGTAGTATTAGTTGCTTTATGTAGCGGCATTTGTACTATGACGTAACGTAAATACTTGGGTATTTTTTGGTGCATTTTTGCCGATGTTGCTAGTATTTTTTAGGCGTCTTGTGGCAACAAAAGTGAAATCACGAAAATATAAGCAAAAGAAATACAAAAAACATGAAATACATAAGTTTTGTAGTGAGCGATCTACTAATTGTGTAATCAATGTTCGCGTACATAAAAATAATATTCAAAAGAAGAGTAAATGTACGAAATAAACAACTCGAAACAAAAAAATGATGGCAATGTAAACTTTGCCGCATCACCGTATGAATGTCATCTATAGAGAGCTACACATTGAGAGAGAAACTGTCAACAAACGCGAAATACGACAACCAAACGTAATAGTAAAACGGACGAGTTCCCACAACAACGCTTTGAGCAACAGCGCAATCGCACTCAGCATATATTCCACATAGAAGAGCGAATTGTCGCTTCGGTTTTGCCTGCACCGGAAGGCGACGCGTGTTTCAGATTGACGATAGCCAGCAACGCGTCAAGTATGCTTTTAAGTAACGTGCGCGTAAAACAATAGGCGACTAAAACATATATACATACATAGCTACAACCGAATAACGAGCATCAGCAAACAGATATAAGGGGAAAGAGAGAGAAAGAGAGTAAATGGAGGCTTACCACCCACAGCAGTAGCGTCGAACAAACCGGAGCGAAGTGTGAGAAGTGCCCGCCGACTAACTCACTCACACATATTAACACACATTCACAACCACAGTCGAGCAACACATAGAAACTCTCGTACGCGAAACACAACAAAACGGAACGTGAAGAGAAAAAACGCCCACCGTGTAGCCCTTCCCCCTCCGTTCGCTGCTAACTTGTGTTACCGTAGCCAGAAGCAACCATCACGTCACAGTCCCCCAAGCGGCTAAAGAGAGCCTCCACTGGAACCCTGCGCAGAAATCGATTTTTTTTTGGCAATTTTCGTACGTGCTTTGCTTGCGAAGTCAACCTCAACCATAATTCGTTTAAAACACAGACACACTGTGTCCAAATGTACGCAAACGAGGCCTAAGCATTGCAATCGCACTATATTTGCGAATTTGTGTGAATAGCCAAAGCCGAACAGGTTAACTGCAACGCGATCGATCGGCAAATCCGATGCCGAAAACGACAACGACACTCACGCAGCCACTGCCCCACCCACCCTCGCGACCTGTGTAAATGTGAATGTGAATGTGAATGCGTGCGCAAAAGCAACGGCGATCGGTGGCAAACGCAAGCTGTTTATCGACAAGTGCACAATAAACAGCCAAAAAAAAAAGTGAATAAAACCAAGAGTAAATAATAAAAGTGTGCTAAAAAACGTTGCTCGGGCATAAATCGTACGCATTGTTAACAAATAAATATCTGTGCACAGGCAGCAGCAAAAATATATATATTTATTTATATACATACATACACGCATAAACGTAATTTCTTGTTGCCGTCGCTTAAGCAATCGCCGTGAGTCATAATTTAACGTTTTTGTTGCTGGTCCCCACTTGACTTGGCTGCCTGGCATTGAGGTGCTGCTTGCTAGCACTGCTCTGCAACTGCCACTGTCGTCGCTAGTCTCTCTCTTTGCGGCCTCTCTTGAGCGCTAAACACGCGCGCCGTTAACGAAAAAGGCGAAAAGGAAAACGACATAGAAAATATATACATATATTTGAGCATATATTTAAATATAATCGTAAAGATATATGTAGATGTGTTTGTGTGTGTGTGCTTATATTATTAAGCAAAAAGTGAGGTGCGTGCAACAAACAAAATAACAGAAAGCAGAAAGCGACAAACAAACAAACGAAGGGCAAATGTACAAAGAAGAAGAAGAAAAAGAAGTCGTATTTATTTAGGGCATGCGAAATACCATTTAGCGGCCACAAAAATCTACGAAAAATCAATAGTCCTCACTTTGTAAGCAGCAGAAAAATAGAATTAGCAAAACGCGTGCAAACAAGTTAAGCAACAAACGAGCGACGCTACAAAAGTTGACAGTTAACTGCTAAACGAGCACACGAATATAACAAAGCTTACGTAAAAGCTCAAGTGAAACTGTAAATGCACTTGCAACTGCAATAGCATTTTTCAACCTGCCATTAGCTAAATATACGAAAAAAAATAAAAACAAAAAAAATTCAACGAATTAGGCCGTAAAACAAATTGAAAATAAACAACATTAAAAAAAAAAAAAAAACAATAAAATCAACTAGTTTTGCTTCCCGCTTGAAGCTCTGTCAAAAACGCCATGACGAAAGACAGATTAGCTGCACTGCACGCCGCCCAGTCGGACGACGAGGAGTCGGAAGATGTGGCCGTCAATGTGGATGGCCACGATTCGTATATGGATGATTTCTTTGCCCAAGTGGAGGAGATACGGGGCATGATTGATAAGGTCCAGGAAAATGTGGAGGAGGTGAAAAAGAAACACTCGGCCATATTGTCCGCACCACAGTCGGACGAGAAAACCAAACAGGAGCTGGAGGACCTAATGGCCGATATCAAGAAGAATGCGAATCGTGTGCGTGGCAAACTCAAGGGCATCGAGCAAAACATTGAACAGGAGGAGCAACAGAAAAATTCATCGGCCGATTTGCGTATACGCAAGACGCAACACTCGACGCTGTCGCGAAAATTTGTCGAGGTCATGACCGAATATAATCGCACCCAGACCGATTATCGAGAGCGCTGCAAGGGCAGAATACAGCGTCAGCTGGAGATAACGGGACGTGCGACCACAAATGAGGAGCTGGAGGATATGTTGGAACAGGGAAATCCAGCTGTTTTCACCCAGGGCATCATCATGGAAACTCAGCAGGCCAAGCAAACGCTGGCCGATATCGAGGCCAGACACGCTGACATCATGAAGCTGGAGACATCCATAAAGGAGCTGCACGACATGTTCATGGACATGGCAATGCTGGTGGAGTCGCAGGGCGAGATGATCGATCGCATTGAGTATCATGTGGAGCACGCTATGGACTATGTGCAGACAGCAACTCAGGATACCAAAAAGGCGCTCAAATATCAAAGCAAAGCGCGACGAAAGAAGATCATGATACTGATATGCTTGACTGTGTTGGGTATCTTAGCGGCTGCATATGTTAGCAGTTATTTCATGTAAATTGATGCAATTACTTAACTTACACATCCACATACACACACATATATATACATACACATACATACAAAGAGAAGAAACACTCATAACACATACTCACATACACACACATACACTATCGATGTCTGTTTAGGATGTTGTACAACCCACCCCGATATGATTCAGTATATGTTATAATTGAAATACATAAAACAATTTAAGCGGCCCTTGCCAGTGAGTTAACATAGAGACACACATATTTATATATATATATACACACACATATACTAACACAAACATACACTTGATATTTTAGGCTCTATAATAAACAAAGAAGAAAAGAATATATTCATTATATAACTAATTTGTATGATTAGTTTAGAAACCTTGAGAGTCTAGCGGCAAAGTGCGAATATTTGTTATAATAATACGCAGCCGGTCGCCTGAGCAATGGATATGCTTATCCCAACGCTCAACTCCCACACACATACACACAAATATAAGGGTTAATATATACATATATATGTATATATACGCGCATGCATACATAGATAAAGACGCAACTGGCCTAATAATAACATTTCAAATCGTTTGATTAGCCAGTCCGAAAATTAATGCCGATTAAAATAGAACCGAACAAACAAAACAAAAAGCAATTAAACACAGTCTAAATAATATATAAAGAAGCATACAAACATATATATATATATATATACGTATATATGATTAAAATTGCAATTAAAAGTATACATACAGAAAAAAAAAAGAAGTGAAAACAAACAAAAAAGTAATTGCAAAAGCAACATGAAATTTTTATTGATTATTGTTATAATGCGAAGCAAACTCAAAATTGCAAGAAAACAAAATAATTATAATAATATATATAACACTTTTTTAGTAGTTTTTGCTTTGCATACATCTAAAAAGAAATTATTGTTAATTCGTTGTTAATTTTTGTACAATTTATCTTTTTTGTTTGATAGGATATGCATTTAATTTTTGATTTGCTCAAAAAAAGTTCTTACAAAAATCTCAATTGCTTATATACACTTATTTGTAGATTCTCTCTTTCAAAAAAATAATAATAATAATGACGAAAACAAAAGAAAAGCAAAGAAAATTCAATGAAACTCACTCAAAAATCTCTCAGTACACAAATCTCATGCAAATGCTATGTATATTAAAATCTAGTTAACTTCTTGAATAATATTTATTAAACAATTATTAATGATATATAAATATACACACAAATATATAAATATATGTACTATATATTCCATATAGATATATATATATGTATGTATAATAACTATAGTGACTATTTACTTATGCTATTTACCCAATCGTGTTCATATGTATTGAATGCACATTACATAAATTATACAAAAAAAAAAAGAAAGATAAAAATTTGCCCAATTCGTATATACATGCTATATATATATGCCACAGACAAACAAATCGGCAAACTGTAAAGTCAACATTCATGTTTTTTTTTGTT